TAAAAAATGTTAAAGAAATGTGTTAACTGAAACAAAGCTAAAGTAAAATTAGAAATAGAAATAGAACTTGGAATTAATTTGAAAATGAAGAATTAATCAGAAAAGGTACGGTTGAAGTGCTAAAATTACTAAAACTGAAATAAAAAGAAATTATTAGTATTAACAGTATTATCAGTATTAAAGCTTAATATAAATATTAAAAACAAGCAAAAATGATAAAAGCACATACAAAAACTAAAATTTAAAATGTTTAGGAATTAATTAGAATTAATTAGAAAATTAAGAATTACATAGACAAGTTTAGGTTGAAGCACTACAATTACTAAAACTGCAATAAAATTAATTCAAGTTAAATAGAAATATTTATATAACAAAAATAAATAAAAATGCAAAAGCACATAAAATTAGATATGTGACAATTAACTACTATGAAAGTAAGTTTAGGTAAGTTCTAAAATTATTAAAACTGAAATAAAGATAAATTAAAGTTAAAAGGAAAAAATAAACTAATGAAAATGACAAAAGTACTAATTAGAAATGTTGCCTTGGCAGCTAACTGGAATAAAATAAGTTTAGGTTGAAGTAATAAAATGACTAAAACTGAAATAAAGATAATAGAATTATATTAAAAAAACTAATAAAAATGACAACACAACAAAATTGCTAATGCACATAACAATAAAAAAATCAAAATGAGCACATCACAAAATGACTAAAACTTAACCAGGAATTTAAATGAAAACTGAAAATATAAAAATAAAACCTAATTTAAAATATTAATAAATGCTAAAAAGAATATTAAAATAACACTGACATGTACAATAGCTTTTGTGTAGCCAACAACACCCTTCCGTTCATTCAGCTCTATTGTCAGAGAAACAAAGACATACAGGAGACACAGTCAGAAGACTGTGTTTTAATAAAACAGCATATGAAACTAAAAACCTTCATTTGAACCCCTCTGAGATGAGTGTTTATTCGGAATCAGTGTTCTGTAACGTTAATGCCTGAGAGCCAGGCGGAGGCTGTTTTTCTCTCAGCTGATCCGCTCTGGGTTTAATCACACCCAAACCAGGATCTACTGTAACAAACGTCTTATTCACAACCACCAGAAGCTCCTGCGTAATTCATAAGAATTGCATTCTTACCTACCAGATGCAAATGCATGAAAGAACAGCTGTGAAAACTCTTGCGATGAAATGCTTAGCTGAGTTTGCTGTCCAAAGGCAGCCGCCATGCAGATGCGCCTGGGCCACAACGAACGCAAGCCCCGCCCATTGAATCTGCAACGTCTGTCCCGTCCAATCAGACGACGATAAATCGAAGCCCCTCCTCTAGCTAAAGCAGCGGTATATAAAATTGATCTCAGAGACGTACGATCAATGACAGTTCAGTGAACTACTTTTATCCTCATCAATATTTTATTCTAAATATTTATTTTTAAATAGCATTTTCTGCGTATTTGTGTATATGTATATTTGTGTATAAAATAAAGATTTATATTTATTTTAATAAAATAAATGCGTATTTAGTCAAATAATTAATAAATAAATGCAAGTAAAAATGTACATAAAATGTTGCGAATAAAAAGTTTTATGTTACTGACGGAACATGGTCAAATCGTCTTAATTATTTATTCATAAAACAAGTAACGACTCGCCTTATGACGCGCTAACCAAATACTTAATTTATTTACTTTTAATATCTTATTTAGCAAATGCCATATTTATGATTTAATTTATTTGAAAATTATTATTTTTTATTCTGATAAAAGATTAGGTAACCGCGTATGTCGTCATTAATATCTTATTTAGCAAATGCCATATTTATGATTTAATTTATTTGAAAATTATTATTTTTTATTCTGATAAAAGATTAGGTAACCGCGTATGTCGTCATTAATATCTTATTTAGCAAATGCCATATTTATGATTTAATTTTTTTGAAAATTGTTCTGATAAAAGATTAGGTAACCGCGTATGTCGTCATTAATATCTTATTTAGCAAATGCCATATTTATGATTTAATTTTTTTGAAAATTATTCTGATAAAAGATTAGGTAACCGTCAGTTAACGTTAGTCAAAATCTCGCGAAGTAACGGACGCTGTAACTGACGCGCACGAGCTCCGTTTAAAACGCGTCAAAACGCACAGTATTCGCCTTTCAAATGCATATTTGAGTTATACAACATCGTAAGATTGGAAAATAGATCTATTTACGTGATCCGTGTGCTATTTGTGAGTGTTGTGTCAGGTTTTGAATGGAGGAGCAGACGGTAAATCAACTGGACAACCTGCTGCTTCAGTTAGGTGATTGTGAACGCTTCATTTCATAATTTGTTTACATATTCTGACACGTTTAACTTGATATGTACTGTATACTGTAATACATAAACAGGTATAGAAACACGAGAACTTGCTCAGAAGAAGGATGACCTCAAACAACAAATACAAAGTACGTTTTTAAAACACTGGAAATATAAAAAGTTCTCCTAACTGAAGAATCACTCACTTTTAATGAACGAAAAATGTCATAATTTGCTCTGTCTGTTGTGTTTTTAGTCTGTGAGTCCAACATTCAAGAGAAGAAGGCTTACGTTAGCACAACTCACAAGATCCTCAGCAAACTCAGTGAGGAGATCCAGCAAAAACAAAACACTTGGAAGTTCATCAGAGAAAACACTAAGAAGTACGGCGAAGTGTGAGGCTGACAATGTGTTTATTTTGAAGTCTCAAACCGAGTATAATATAAATATAAATGTTCTGATATCAGTCTCCAGCGAACAGGACATCTGCTGCTTCAGTATGAAAAGACACTGGAAGCTGAGCTAGAGAAGAGACAGGGCAGCTATAATCAAGACATGTAGGTCAAGCCTGACATATGAAGTAATAGTCATAAAAATATGTCTTTTTCAAATGGAACAGTTTATTGAACCTTTAGACAAAATATGAAAAAGTCTGCATATGTGTTTTCTCTTGAGCATCATATTTGGTACATCAAGTTTTTATTGCTCATATAGTCTAATATAGTTAGACGAACCGGTTTTGATTGCTTCTATTGTCCTCATTTGTAAGTTGCTTTGGATAAAAGCGTCTGCTAAATGACTAAATGTAAATATAGTGAGAATATGGAGGAAAAACAACTCAGAGGCCCAAACTTGGGGGGGGGGAATGCAATTTGGTGCAGATGCTAATATTTATATGGCCAAAAATTAGGAGGAAATTCTGAAGCTTGTAATGTAAATCGATGAGATCTTTATAACAATATAGCAGATACTTACATAAAATGATATAAATACCAGTTATCTCACTATAGTTCCCACTAATATGTCGTAATAAGATGATATTTACAGTAAGTGCAAGCATGTAGATTGTGTGCAACAGGTTTTTCAGCAATCACGTGTATGGAAAATCACATATCAAATATGATACAGTAGGCTTTAAAGGGTTAAAGATGCTTGGTCTTTGAAGGAAAATCTTCCAGGAGAGAATGGAGAGCTACAGGAACGTGTTTCAGCAGTATAAGGATCGATACTGTCAGAACTCACTGGCTCAAAAACTGCTGAAGATTCAAGCCGAGAATGAGGAAGTCGAGAGGAGAATCAGAGCAACGGAAGAACAGATATCGGAGAAAGAGAGAGAACTGATGGCAGCACTGGGTAATTCACCTGTTTCCTCCTCAAGTATATCCAAAAAATGAAAAATTAGTTCCAAAACACATAAATAATGTGGTTTTTTAAAATGTATTTACATGTCTTTTAATACAGATCTTGTGTTTTGATAGGTGAAGATGAGCCAGTCACTGATGCTGCTGACAGGTATTTTATCTTCACAGCAGATTTGTTTTTTTTTTGTCAGGTTAGTAGCTATCTTTTAATTAACATTCTTTCTGCTATGAAAATAGTAAGTGTCAAGACAATGACGTCCCACAAACTGAAAACAGGGAGTCATTTGATGAAATGGACCCTCATCAAGACCCCATAATGCAGGTACTGTACTTCTGCTGTTCACTGCAGCTAAATCTACTTGAAGGATTGAGAAATATTCAAACTTCTATTGAAAAGTGAGTATGTTGAGACAAGGAATTGAGAATTCTGTAACTTCTAGAGGCCTGAAGAATATGCAGAGGAGCACATGGCTGCTGAAGGTCCTTCTGAGGAGAATAAGGATAAAACAGCAGAAAGTGAATCTCAAACCAACACATTTCGCCACGGCCTATGGACAAAGACTGAAACTGGAGAAGGTAAACACCAGCAAATATTAATATATTGAGAGTATCACAAAATAAACCCCAATGAGCACACACACTGACCAATAACAATCCTTTCCTTTTAGATCAAATGCAAGAAGGTGATCAGAAGCAGTCAGAGGAGGTGAATGAACTGGTACAGTTGAAACACAACTGATTTTAAATGATTCAAATATATACTACTGGTCAAAAAGATATTGAAATGCGTATCAATGTTTTTGCTGCTTAGTATTTGTGTGGGATCCTTGATACCTTTTTTTCAGGATTCTTTGATGAATAAAAAAGTTCAAAAGAACGGCATTTATTGGAAATAGAAATCTTTTGGAACTTTATAAATGTCTTTACTGCCACCTATGATCAATTTAATGCATCCTTGCTGAATAAAAGTATTTTCTTTATTTAAAAAAAAAATCTCACTTACCCTAAACGTTTGAATGGTTGTGTATCACGGTTTCCACAAACAATATGAAGCAGCACAACTGTTTTCAACATAATAATTTCTGATAATAATCAGAAATGTTTCTTAAGCAGCAAATCAGCATATTAGAATGATTTCTGAAGGATCATGTGACACTGAAGACTGAAGTAATGATGCTGAAAATTCAGCTTTGATCACAGACATAAATTACAGTTTAACAGATATTCACATAGAAAACAGTTATTTAAAATTGTAATTATATTTCACAATTTTTACTGTATTTTTGATCAAATAAATGCAGCCTTGTTGACTCCCCCCCCCAAAACATTAGCAAGTCTTACTTAGTCCAACCTTTTGACTGGTAGTATATAAATTCTTATATGATCTATTTGTATGAATGCAGGAGGGGATTCCCCCCCCAAAACATTAGCAAGTCTTAGTCCAACCTTTTGACTGGTAGTATATAAATTCTTATATGATCTATTTGTATGAATGCAGGAGGGGAATATGAATGTTTCATGTGCTTCTGAGCTCATGGTGGAAATTTCAGAGGAGGAGGAAGATCGTTTGGAGGTGACCACAGCAGATGCTCAGGAGGACACGGTGAATGAGCGTGGCATCTGTCCTCCTCCGTCACCGGCTAGAATAAAAGCCACGCCGACCACCCCCACCTTCTCTCTAAAGTACGACCCATTCATCTGTGTTCATGATGAAGCATCCTGTACCTCTATATGCTGCAAACTGTCACTTACATTAGTCTAAAGTCAACATTTGCAACCCATTTTACTTTATGCATTTCTCAGGGATGCACCTACATTTACATTTATTCATTTAGCAGATGCTTTTACCCAAAGCGACTTACAAATGAGGAATACAACAAGCGATTCATCTTAAGTAGGCAATAACTTGAGAAATGCTTGAAATATAAAGTTTTAAAGAACTGCTAAAACATGAGGTATATAAGAAATAGTGAAATAAGAAGTGTAGGAGGAGATTTTTTTTAATTGTATTAATTGCAATTCATTCCTTTTTTTTATTGCACACCAAAAACCTGCACAACTAGTCTTTGAGTGAATGTCAACCAAATAGCATTTAGAGGTGGTGCAAAGTTGTATCTTGATTCTATCAATACATGTAACATTCACTGATGAATCTAGTACTAGTTTGAGACCGATAACTGTTGGATCTGTTAACAGCAACAGTCCCAGTTCCTCACCTGGACGGCAGGAGATCTCAGACACTAAGTCGCCCGCTTTTGTCTTCTCCATGAATTCTGGTCCAAGCACACCTGCGTTCTCTAAGCTGGGCTGTGATTTTGCTGCAGAAGAGGTGAACTTCAGAAGCTGGAAGACCGACACATGCATTGTTTCATCAAAAAAAGTTTCATCATTTCATCTGTGTGTATGTTTGTGTGCTTATGTTGTAGGCATCTCCATTTACCTTCACAAGCTCCTATTTCAGCGACAGGGTATTTCTGGAGGAACACTGATGTTTGTAATTACGTTTGAACGTTTTAAATGTCTGAAAGCTGATTTTGTGTTTCTGGTAACAGAAGTCACCAGGATTGGCACCCAAGTTCTCAGGTGAAGAATGAACATGAGTAATATCTAACATCCAAACCTGTCAAGAACATAGCCACACTCACAAAAAAAGGTACAAAAGTTGTCACTGGGGCTGTATCTTTTCAAATGGTACACCTTTCTACTTAAAGGGTCCATATTGGAACCTTAAAGGTACATATCTGTACCTAAAGTGTACCTGTTAGTATCTAGAAGGTACAAAAGTGTACATTTTGAAAAGGTACCACCAGTGACAGCTTTTGTACCTTTTTTTCTGAGGACACACTGCACACCAAACACAGAGAAAAAATAATACAAAATATTTTGCCTAAAGATTAAATCTATTTTTATGCACATTTAATATGGTTTCTCTGCAAGGTTTCCTGTTCGATGAAGCCGAGAGTCGTCAAGAGGAGTTTTCCTTCTCGTTTGGGACGGTGAGCCCTCGGCAGAACTCTTCCACACAGGACACGGCAGGTTCTGCGGATTCATTTCCATTTTCATTCAGCTTTGGAAAAATGTAACTTCATTAACATTAATCTCATCTTTATAGTTGTACTTCAGAAATGTGTTCAAATGTCTGTTAGAGTCTGTTGAAGTTAAATTCTAGATTCTAGATTCTATATTCGTTCAGATGTGTTTGTGATCCTGGTCATTTTGTTCAAGTTCGTTTCAACATATGATTCACAATATTTTATTTACAAAGGCCCTTTGAATATATGTTTATACTAAAATGCATGCATTAGTATAAACAAGTTAAACTTGAACATTATAATTAATAGAAAATTAGAGGAATGTTAATTTCATGAATGATGTTCTTATTAAATGTATTTGGTGCTGCATAGTAACCGAAAACATAACAATGCTAACTTCAAAGTTCAAAAAAGTCTTTCTATTTGTTTTCCCGCTACTTACAGTACAACACAGCAAGTATTTTTAAATATATATTTTTATTATATATTATAATATATGTATATATTTCTTAAATGACAGGACAGTCCTTGTAATTTAGCCACATCATTACATTCATTTTACATGTAGTTTTTTATGGCTTACATTCCTAGACAGAAACACTACTGTAAACGAATACCTTACTGCACACTTCTGTAGATTTCAGCAAAACAACAATCTCAGAGCTGTTGACAGTTATACAATGTCAAAAGGCCCATATGCAACACTGCTAAAGTTTGAAATGCTCTGAGGTGAAAATCATAAAAGTTGCATAAGCACAGACACTGTTTTAAGGCTGTGTTTTAAGAACTAGTCTAAACAACTAATAGTTAGCCAAGCTATAATTTGTTTTACTTTTCAGATTCAAGTTAGACCAATCTATGTTTATGTAACTGCCTTAAATTATCAGTCTAAGCAGTTTATGCAACCGGCCACACCAGGCCATATTTCACCCCAAAAGCAGAAGAAAATTTGTTTTGCAAAAAGAAAATGAAGCTATAATTATTGCATTGTGACATTATTTTCCAGACAATGAAATATCTTTCAGGCTTCCATATACAGTATATCTAGAGTATTAAAGGGGTCATATGATGCTATTTTAAAGATAATTATTTTGTGTATTTGGTTATAACAATAAACTCTGTAGGAACTTTTGAGTTGTTGATTTATCTACTAACAGCAGCAGTTTTGTATAAAGTATAAAACAGTGTTTTCACTGGAAGTGAGTGACTGGTGTTGCATTGCACCATGAAAAAAAAAATGTTTACAAAATGTACTTTGCATTAGTTGTTTTGGAACAGCAATATAACTTTGCATGCTGACATTGCTACAGTTGTGTAAACACTGGCAGCTAAAAGTTTGGAATAATTAAGATTTTTTTATGTTTTTGAAAGAAGACTTTTCTGCTCACCTAAGCTTCATTTATTTGATCTGAAATACAGTAAAATTGTGAAATATTATTACAATTTAAAATAACCGTTTTCTATGTGAATATATGTTAAAATGTAATTTATTTCTGTGATCAAAGCTGTATTTTCAGCATCATTACTCCAGTCTTCAGTGTCACATGATCTTCAGAAATCACTCTAATATGCTGATTTGCTGCTCAAGAAACATTTCTCATTTTTATTAATGTCAAAAACAGTTGTACTGCTTCATATTTTTATGAAAACCGTGATCCACTACCATTCAAAAGTTTGGGGTAAGTACATTAAAAAGAAGAAAATGGATACTTTTATTTAGCAAGGATCAAAAGTGATAGGAAAGACATTTTTAATGTTACAAAAGATTTCCATTTCAAATAAATGCTGTTCTTTTGAACTTTCTATTCATCAAAGAATCCTGGAAAAAAGTTTCCTCAAACATTTTCGTCAGCACAACTGTTTTCAACATTGATAATAATCAGAAATGTTTCTTGAGCAGCAAATCAGCATATTAGAACATTTTATATATTTAAATAAACTATTTTCTCAGTATTTTTCATCAAATAAATGCAGCCTTGGTCAGCAGAAGAGACTTCTTTCGAAAACAGTTGGAAATCTTAATTACAAACTTCTGGCCCCCAGTATATATACGGATAGAAACTATGTGATTTTAATTAAAGACGAGAAACATCACAAGCTGGATTTGATGAAATGGTCCAAATACATAACAAATAATATATATATATATATATATATATTTTATAGCGATCAATTCACACATATGAGATTTTTAATCAAAATTATGCCCACTTATCAGGAAACAGTTATAATTATATTATTATTATTATTATATCATAATTAGTTATGATTATAACGGGAGTGATCTCATTTTGACACTGCATGAGTTCAGTGTAAACATGCTGCAAATACAGGCCTCTAATGCATCAGGTTTAGGCACAAATCTGGAGTCTTAGCCTCCTTTACTCACTAAACTAAAGGATCAGGCATTTACCCATTTTAACGGAGGAGTGTCAGTTTGGTGTGTTTGCTGATGGATGGCACTGGCGGCGTGTGGATTTAAAGCCCGGTGTCTATGCTGAGAGAGCGGCGGGTCACATGTTCGATCTCTCCCGTCACATACTCGTTGAAGGATGTCTGATACTTGGCCAACATCTTCAGCATCAGTCTGAGGTTCAGCCACCACTGCGTCTTGGGCATCCGGTGTCTGCAGGGCAAGAGGAGCGCTTTACTGATAATTGTTTGTTCTGTCATTATGCATGAGTGAACTATGTTATGATGGAGCCTGCTATTACAGTTTGAAAAAAAAAAAAAAAGCACTATAGAAAGTGTTATATAATTTGTGGTAGTAGCAACTTGATTGAATTGCAAGACACTTATCCAAACAGAATAAAACGGCTTTTCCTTCATTTCATGAGAATGTGCATAATTTTTAAGCATTTTTCTAAATTAATATTAATTTCCAGGGTTATTATAGTTAACTAAAACTAAAACCATATTTTTTTCACTTGAAATAATAAACATCAACTTTATTTTTTTTTACAAAAAAAAACTAAATACTAAAACTAAATAAACTAAAATATATATATATACAGTGGGTACGGAAAGTATTCAGACCCCCTTAAATTTTTCACTCTTTGTTATATTGCAGCCATTTGCTAAAATCATTTAAGTTAATTTTTTTTCCTCATTAATGTACACACAGCACCCCATATTGACAGAAAAACACAGAATTGTTGACATTTTTGCAGATTTATTAAAAAAGAAAAACTGAAATATCACATGGTCCTAAGTATATTGATGCACTAAAGTTTTTGAATACTTTATGAATAGTGGTTTAGTTGCAAGAAATTAAATATATTGAAACAAATCATAAATTGAATATTACCCCTAGCTTTGGATCAGAGTCATTGTTGAAACGATTATTTCAGTGATAAAGCATGAGTCTGTACCTGCTGCAGGTGTCCCAGGAAGACACCTTTCCCCTCAGCAGAGTACAGCTTATGGATGAAATCAGTGGTGTAGTGCTCATGACACTTCTCATTCCTAAAAATAGAGCAGTTTCACATTTACAGTCTCATTAAGCTGCTAAATCTCAAGCATAAAGCCACAAAATAAAAGAATAGTTCACCCAAAAATGAACATTTGTTGAAAATATCCTCCCCCCCTCAGGCCATCCAAACTGTAGATGAGTGTGTTTCTTCATCAGATTTGGAGAAATGTAGCATTGCATCAGTGTCTCAGCAATGGATGCTCTGCAGTGAATGGGTGCCGTCAGAATGAGAGTCCAAACAGCTGATAAAAACATCACAATAATCCACAAGTAATCCACACCACTCCAGTCCATCAATTAACATCTGGAGAAGACAAAAGCTGCGTGTTTGTAAGAAACAAATCCATCGTTAAGATGTTTTTTTTTTTACTTCGAACTGTTGTTTCTGGCTAAAATATGAGTCTATAATCCATAATAACGCGTCCATTATGTTTTTATCAGCTGTTTGGACTCTCATTCTGACGGCACCCATTCACTGCAGAGGATCCATTGCTGAGACACTGATGCAATGCTACATTTCTCCAAATCTGATGAAGAAACAATCTCATCTACATCTTGGATGGCTGGGGGTGAGTAAATGTTCAGCAAATTTTCATTTTTGGGTGAACTGTTCCTGTAAAAATAATTAAAGAAATACAAATTGTTTCATTATTCATACATTCAATAAGCTATCATAATTAGATACTAAATTTAATTACTGAGGTAAACATGAGTCATTCATAACTGAAAGCCTTTTACATCAGTAAACCTGTCACTGTGTATTACACAAACTGCTTTGTCTTTGACAAATTGCTTTAGTTCCTTTTCTTTAAGTCGCTTTGGATAAAAAATGTAAATGTAAAGGTTTAAATTCCAACGCAAGCCACATGAGGTCGCCAGAGATACAGATGAGATCAGGGGAGATTAATTACTGTTACTGTATCTTATTTTACAGTATTTAATAGTTTTTTTATAAACAGTTTTTTAAATCATTTATTTTTATGTCTAGACCTGTAATCTTCTTGTGATTAAAACAGTATGTGAATTGCAGCAATGCAACAGTTACAACTCTTGTCAATAGAATTGGTTGAACAGATCATGTGACACTGAGACCTGGAGTAATGATGCTGAAAATTCAGCATTTACTCACAGAAATAAATAACAATTTACAATATATTCACATTTTTAAAAAATCTTAATGATCCCATTTCTATTCCTATTTTTTTGACTGTGAGATCCTTAAGCATACATATTGATTCTGTGACGTGGATGCAATAAGTTAGGAATCTAAAAATGTGTTGCAGACCAAAAGGTGGACAGATTTACCTCAGCACCAGACCTGTCTGAATGTCCTTCTTCATTTTCTCTGTCAAATGCTCCACATTGGTCTAAAAAAGTGTCACACCAACAGCGAAACATTCTTCATTTACAAAAAAAACTGCATTTATTCTTCTAGAATGAGCAGATGTGAGGAGTGTCACTCACCTTGAGGTCATGAATGTTGAATGGTTCTTCAAAAATATAAGCGGCGTCCGCACCGACAGCGATGCCTGTGGTGGTTGCCAGATAACCGCAGTATCCCCCCATAGTCTCCACCATAAAGACCCTCCTCTTGGTCCCTGTGGCTGACTGCTTGATCTTATCACAGCTCTTCATAAAACAAAGACGCACTTCAGATCAATAACCGGACACTGGATGCGGTGAATCAATAACACAAACGGCATCTTTATTTAAAGATCATGCAATGAAGGGAGCAAGATTTGGCTGGTGACTTCAGATACAAGCAGTTTCAAAACCTAGTACTCTAGTAAGCATAAAAGTAAATTAACATTTTTAATTCATCAGATGCTTTCATACAAAGCGACTTGCATTGCATGCATATATGGTATGCATTTTAAAAGTTCATGCATTTCCTGGGAATCGTACCCATGACCTTGGCATTGCAAGCCAGGCCAAAATACATGGGACACGTATTATTTATTTATCATTTTACGCCATA